GGGGCAGGAAGGGGGAGAACAAGGAAATCTGTGGCTGTTTTATAAAACTGAATAGTATTGTAAAATAAAATAAATAAAAAAATTAAAAATTAAAAAAAAAGGAGCAAGATAAGGATGACTTCTTTGTCCATGCCTGTTCTGTGTTGTGCTTGAAATCCTGGCTAGAGCAATAAGTCAATAGAAGGAAATAAATGGTATAGATAATAAAATAAATAAATCACAATATTAGTATTTAACTATGATATGTTTTTATATAAAAATACCCTAAATACCACCAGGAAACCTAACAGGATACAAAATTACCACACAAAAATCAGTATTCTTCATGAATACAACTGAGAAATACACTAAAAAATAAAACAGGGAAATGAAACCTGCCATAATAGTCAGAGAATACAAGAATAAACATTTGGTCAAAGTCTAACTAAGCTACTGAGAGATTTTTATAATAAAAACTTTAAGATATTGAAGAACAGAGTTGAAAAAGACATCAGAAAAAGAAATGAATCTCTTGTGCTCATTGTTTTATAAGATTAATATTGTAAAAATGGAAAAACAATTTACATATTCATTAAAAGCACATTAAAATACCAAAAGAAACAGGCAGTGGTGGCACATGGGAGGTAGAGCCAGGCAGATCTCTATGAGTTCAAGGCCAGCCTGGGCTATCAAGTGAATTCCAGGAAAGGCACAAAGCTATACTGAAAAACCCTGTCTCGAAAAAATGAAAAAAAAAAGAATTATTCATGGAAAGTGCAAAATAATCTTGAATTTCATATGGAATTGATATCATTAACAACAAACTGGATAGCTAAAACTATCCTGAACAATGAGCTTCTGAAGGCTTTATGATTCTTGATATATTTGCTCTACTATAGAACTATAAAAATAAAAATACCATGGTATTAGCATAAAAAACATGTTACTTTGTGGAAAAAAATGGAAGACACACTTATAGGTAAACATACCTATAGATATCAGATTTTGCACAAAAATATGTACAGTAGAAAGGACTGTAATTCACCTAATGGTGCTGGTCAAGCAGGATCACTGCATGTACAAAATGAACACAGAAGCACCGTTCTCAACCTACATTAACATAAACCCAATCCAAGACCTGACACCATGAATCAGATAGAATAAAAAGTAGGGAATAATCTTGAACTTGCAGGCATAGAACAGGAATTTCTGAAATGGATTCTGATATATCAGATGTTAAAACCTACAATTAATAAATGGAACCCTCCAAAATAAAAATGTCTGCAGACCAAAGATGCTGTCATCTGAGTGACATAGTAAGTCATAGAGTAGGAAAAATATCTTTATCAATTATGTCAGACAGGTGTGTAACACACAGAATATTACTTAGACGGTACATAGTGACCGCCCCTCCCACCAAAAAAGAAGTAAAGAAAAAAAAGATACCTTTTCTGAATCCTTATGCTTGATTATTATGTAATCTAATGTGTTAACCTGCAGAAGATCTAGGCAATGACTGTCATGAGTTAAGAAGTGTCCACTCCATCAAAAACATGCTCTCTCAAATTACTATGCAACACAGCTACTTTCTATTGAGACCAGTGCTGTGTGAAAGTGTTATTAAAGAACCTTAGCGAAAGTTGGGTTTGCAAGCAATCCTTGTCCAGCTTAACAGTCCATTTATTGGAGAGTTTAACATCACTCTTGCAAATGAAATACTTTGAAATTATTTTACCATTTTAAAAAATGCCAAAAACCTGTAGAAATGGCTCACTCGGTTGAATATAGTCTTGAGTCCTTCCAGAAGTTCATGATTCCTGTCCTTTACATTGATGGCTCTTTTCAGCATACTATCAGAAGCTCCTGAGAGATTGGCTTCTGCAGACACCAGATATTTCAGTGATTTTGTATGATGTCCTTGTTCTCTGACAACTGCATCTTCCCTCGTCTGTTGGTTGTGAAATTACCACACACCGTATGGTCTCACAGAACACACACAGCACAGCAATCCTCTGTCTAACTTCACTTGTTTAGTGAAACCTGGAAAGAAATCTACTTATATTTTTTGAATTTGTTCATAGTTCCCTGGTGGACAGATGGAAAGATGTGACACATGCTGATCATCCTGTCCCTTAACCAACTTCTTTGCAAACTTTAAATCCTGGAAGAAATTAGATGATTCAATTTA